AGCTCACGTATCGGCTGCAACAAGGACGGGGCACACTGCGTGCGAGCACGTGCCCACCACCTTGTGTTGGTTTAGTCCCATAGTCCTTCCACGGCGGCCTGCATGGCGTCCTTCGCCGCCCGCTCGGCCGTACTGTCCTCGTTGCCGTGCCTCACCACCGTGACGAACATGACCGAAAGGGGGGGGCACTACCGTTTCGTCGCTGGTGGAGGCGCGAAGCCGGGGGCCGCCGCCGCCCTCCCGCCGGCATCGACCCCGCACACGCAGGAGCACGCCCACCGCCCGTGCGTGGAGGAACGAGCGCTAACGCGCCGCTCCGGCAGCAAGCGGGACCGCGAGACCGCCGCCGCCACAGACGTCGGCTACTCCAAGGAGGAGCATAAGGCGGCCACGCGGCGAGCAGCGGACCGCGCAGAAGACACCTCAGCGCCCGCCCGGAAGCACCCAAAAGTGACGTACATTCTCCCGAATCAGAGCCGCGAGGAGGGCCACTTCTACGTGGTGCTCGGCGAGGACATTGACGTCTCGACGCAGCGCTTCAAGATCCTCTCGATGCTGGGCGAGGGCACCTTCGGCAAGGTGGTGGAGGCGTGGGACCGCAAGCGCAAGGAGTACTGCGCGGTGAAGATTGTGCGCAACGTGCCCAAGTACACGCGGGACGCGAAGATCGAGATTCAGTTCATGGAGAAGGTGCGCCAGTCGGACGCCGCCGACCGGTACTCCCTGATGAAGATCCAGCGCTACTTCCAGAACGAGACCGGCCACATGTGCATCGTGATGCCAAAGTATGGGCCGTGCCTGCTGGACTGGATCATGAAGCACGGCCCCTTCGGCCACCGCCACCTGGCGCAGGTCATATTCCAGGCGGGCACGGCGCTGGACTACTTCCACACGGAGCTGCGGCTGATGCACACCGACCTGAAGCCGGAGAACATGCTGCTGGAGACCGGCGAGACGGCGGTGGACCCCCTCACGCGCAAGACGACGCCGGTCGAGCCGTGCCGCATCCGCATCTGCGACCTCGGCGGCTGCTGCGACGAGCGCCACAGCCGCACGGCCATCGTGTCGACGCGCCACTACCGCAGCCCCGAGGTGGTGCTGGGGCTGGGGTGGATGTACTCGACGGACATGTGGTCCATGGGCTGCATCATCTACGAGCTCCACACGGGCAAGCTGCTGTACGACACCCACGACAACCTCGAGCACCTGCACATGATCGAGAAGACGCTTGGTCGCCTGCCGTCGGAGTGGGCGGGGCGCTGCGGCACGGAGGAGGCGCGCCAGCTGTACAACTCCGCCGCGCAGCTGCGCCCCTGCACCGACCCGAAGCACCTTGCCCGCATCGCCCGGGCCCGGCCGGTGCGGGAGGTCATCGCGGACAAGCTGCTCTGCGACCTCATCTACGGCCTGCTGCACTTCGACCGCCAGAAGCGGCTGACGGCGCGGCAGATGACGACGCACCCGTACGTGCTGAAGTACTACCCGGAGGCGCGGCAGCACCCGAACTTCCCCGACAACCGCCCAAACCTCCGCCCCACACCGCTCATGTGAGTTGTGACGCGGTACGGCGCGAAGTGCGAGGAGATGAGGAAAGGCTAGTGCTGAAGGTGGATGGTTTGGATGGGGAGGCGGGACCACGGGAAAACTAGAAACGGTCGTTTTTGTTTGGAGTTGTTTATTAACTTTTTGTACTTAGAGTAACGGAAGAGAAAAAAGACGAAGGGAAAAAAGGAGAAGGAGGAAGATGCATCCCCTCATTCTCGCTGCATGGTTTCAAGAACCGCCTCTTCCTTCTTGGCTGCTGTTGGCTGGGAGATTTTTTGCTTTTATTTTTGTAGTGAGTTTTGTTTGTTTGTACGCATTTCGTGCGTCTGTGTGTGTGTGTGCGTGTGCGTTAATAATGATGAGGTGTACGTTGTGTGCAGTTCCACCCGCGGCCGTTTCCCCATGCACGGCGTCTTTCCCCCCGCAGGCGTGGCTGGGTAAAGGTGGTGCGGCGGTGTGGCTTATAAATATGGGCGTCTGCGTGTGCCGGTAATTTTTTTTTTTTGTCGGCACCAACAGCAGCAGCAGCGGCACGCTGGAAGAGGCAGCGGCGAGGGAGGAAGCAAGCGCCGCGCATTCAAGTGAGGTGTGTGACGGTGGGGCGTCATCTTTTCTTTTTCCTTCTTCCTTTTTTACTGCGTGTTTGTGTGCATGTGCGGGGGTGCTGTGGGGGATGGGCATTTTGTTAGAGGCATGCATACACGTGGACTGCCGCTCCCTGTCGTCCACGTCGCTCGGTTCTTTTTGTGTTGGTGGCGGCTGCGGAAGGGGACAGACAATTACGGCGGCGGGGAAGTCGCTCGCCGTGCGTGTCGCATCTGGAGCATCTCGTCTCTACCTTTCTGTTTTGTTTTGTTGTTTTTTTTCGCTGGTGGCTGGCTACTCTTCTCCATTTCGCCGCACCCGTGTCTCCCGCTCACGCGTCTCCGCTGCCTGCTGCATCTGCCGCCGCCCTGCTGGCGCGGAGGGCATCGCTGGACGAAGGCGCCTGCGTGCCTGCCCCCTGTTGATTTGTAAACCGTCCTTTACCCCCTGTCTCTCCCTGTGTGCGTGTGTGTTGTTGTTTTCATTGTCACTGTTGTTAGAAGCTCTAGAGTTTTGTTGTTGTTGTTGTTGTTTTTTTTTGTTTTTCATTCACGCCTGTTTGTTTGGCTTTGTTTGTTTGTTTCTGTCGCTCTCGCCCTCTCACCGCGTGCCTCGCGTCCGTGGGTGCGTTGGGGAGGGGGGGCCGCCGCTGCGGAGTGTGGCCCGCCGCGTGTGTGCGTGCGGAGGAGTCTAGCGGCGTGGGCCGCCCCGCGGCTTTGCGGCTCCGCGTGAAGGAACGAGGAGAAAATAGAAAACGAATTTGACGAAGGAAACACGCGCGCGCGCGCAAAA